CGATTTTACCAGTGACCCATTTTGCATAATCAGCTCTGCAGGGTCCCACAAGTCTGATAATCCAAGAGTTACTTTTGGAACTCTGCTGACATCGGCAGTGTAGGTCTTGCATATTGATGAATTCTGTGGAATCCAAATAAGTGCAGACTCATAGATCTCCATGCAATGTTTCTGGACAGCTTCAAAGTTCATTTGTAAACACCGGTGGGCATCATGAACAAGTAACTGAAAGTCATGGAATTTGAAGGCCTGTCAATCAGAATATTATTAGACTCACAATGTTTTATCCTTCATTATGGCAAATAACTTACCAATAAAACAGTGATTACACCACCCAGGGATTTCAGTCCTGTTTGCAGCTCACCCAGTATGCTGAGACACTCTATCCAGTGCAAAAGATGCTTGTGCAGAAAAATGCAAAGAGCGTCAACAAGTACAGGGTCAAATTTCTTGACCTCTGCTAAATGAGCAGCCCAATAGGTGCATGAGTATTTGAGCACTTCAGAAATTTTGCCAATGCTCTCTGGAGAGTTGGCCCTGTCTCTGCGCGACAATGTCAATTCTTTGGGGACTTCACATATGTTGTACTTCAGTAAGTTGTTCATCAGCATTAAACATTTGAGAGTGATCAGTGTATGACCCTCAGAAGCAACCAGTGAAGGGAATGATGGGCAACGCTCAGGAGAACACCGGACTGGATTGGTGATGAAGTCAGGAAATGAGGCATGGAATGGAGTGACCATGGCCCCAGGTTGGTCAGGAATGTGAATAACAGAGGTGAGCCATGACAAGTACAACTGCACATCACTTTCTGGTGATAGAGATGTGATGGCTTCCATCGACAATGGATTTTGAAGGAATATGGTGATGGACAAGACATTTCTCATATCTTCAACTTCATCCAGCTCCTTGTCTTCACAGACCTTTTCCAATACATGAACATAGAGAGAATCGATCTCACTTTCAAACTTGTTGATGGATTTCTGGCCATGGCTCAGCATTGCGGAAAGACGCCGCTTATAGTCCCCACCACCATTAGTGATATAACGAATGGCAGTGGCTGCATAAATGAAGAGCCTGCCGGAACTTGTGACGAGACTGGACAGTTCATCATTCTTGATGCCGGCCAATGATGTCCTGAGATATATCCGGATATCGTTCTGGACTACATCCTTCTCGATGTCATGGAGATAGAAGTACCCTCGAATGCTATCACTAGTAGACCTGAAGGCAGTGCGAATCCGATTCTCATCTCGGCTGGCTAGGAATATCTTGAGCGGAATTTTCGACGCCCATTCAAGAACAAGTTTAATGAACAGCGCGACGACTTCAAGGTTGGCGCATTCATCAGCGGCATCAATAACAACAACTTTATCCACCACGACCGGGCCGATGGTCGTTCGAACAGGATTATAAACCAGCCGCTTGAACTGCTCCTTCATGTTAGAATATGTTGGTTCTGCCAGAGTAGGGTCGTCCTCAATGGCCTTAACAACCTCAAATTTGATAGCAGGTGAAGCTCTCGCCAGCGAGTGTGCAATAACAGGAATAATAAGGCGTGCGTTCCTAGTTTTCTCCGATGCTCGAGAAGCAAAGAAACTGCCACCAAGAATGTTTTTCGCCTCGAGATGCTCACAGAATGTGTGCGCGATGGTCGATTTTCCGATTCCCGCCATACCTACCATCCAATATACCCTGCTGCTATTGATGTCCGAGGCCCAAGTGTCCAACTGTTCGAGGACGTTTACGCGGGTCCCTTGCATGCAGCCGGTGGGGTCGCCGTAAGACGACTGTCGAGTTTTATATGACGTCATTTCGTGATTGAGCTTTTCGATGGAATCTGTGGGTATATGAGCGCCACGAAGCTTAGAGCTATGTTCCGTTGGGAAAGTTTATCTCACCTTGACCCCGATGTTCATGAACCTCCATCTTGACAAAAATTTCAATCAATATTTCAAACGATCAATGCTGTTCGGATCAAAGGACACACATTTTTAGCGATATAGAATATTGAATCCCTTATTTCAAAGTTGTGCGCTCCCTGCAAGACATTCTGGGATTCCCGGAGACAAAGGAAATGAGCGAATGAATTTGTTTACACATTATAAACGCACCATAGAGGAACCCTCTCCCGTAACTTCAGGCGCCCTTGTAAACAAGATCTCGTCAGGATGCCATCTGCGGGCGTGGGGGTCATGAACTCCCACCTCAAACCGCCAGGGCGTTCATCATGTGGGTGATTTGCGTCCATGAGGCGATCAGGTAATTTCTTGGACTCTCCTTTCAAATGATTTTTGCGGGGGCGATTAAGATCAGACATCGTGGTTCAGAAGAGAGCGTCGATGCTGTGCGGCGCACGCCGGTCCAGGGGTCAGCTGACATTTAACGCGCAGTGGGCGCCAAGTCGAAGCACCTGGAAGCGCCAGAAAAAATGGTGGTCAACAGAGAAGTGCGAGAAAGGGAAAACAATGACTTTCAGCGGACTCAAGGCGACGAAGAGACAACATTTCATGTCAAATATTCACAAGGGCAGTGGATTCGCTATGGAGACAAGCTAAAACGAACATTAAATCGCAAAGGCGAGCACACCTAGCTGGGTCTTTCCCAAGTAGGACCTACCCACCCTATCACGCTACACGTCATTCTGGCTCTATCTCCTGTCATCCATCGTCCCTCACATTCCTTCTCGCCCCTCTCGCTACCATCCTCCTCACGAATCCGTAGGAGTGCGCGTTGTGTTTCATACGTTGTAACAGATGATAAATGATGGGGGTCACCAGGATGACCTTGGTTTCCTTCAGCACAGGCCCATTCCGTCGGTGATCGTAAGTTGTGATGTTTTTTGGCTGGGCTTGGAAGCACTGCGCTGGATAGCTGTCGTTAAGGAGAGCCGTTGGTGGAGTGCTGGAATCTAAGTGGGGAGGACCCAAGGAAAACATCGGCACGAATCACGGAACACCAGACGGCCAGAGGGGTTGGCACGGGCAAGCACATCATCCTTCGCACTGACATTCGAAGCAGGCGTTTGTTCATCACCTACAGGACGGTGTGCTCATTTGTGTAAACTCGACGCCTCAGAGTTGCCACGTCATTGATCCTGCAAAACGATAATGTGATAAGCTCGTCGTCGAAAGCCAGAAATGTTCAAGTTGGAGCCGTACCCAAAGAAAGAGGACTTACAAGAAGATTCCCAGTGGTCTCAATACTGGAGGTGGCCCAAGGTGATTTGAAGCGCCGTACTGAGTCGAGTACGTCGGGCGTTGAAAGTGTCTTGGTCGATCTTTGGCTTGACCAAATGGAAATGGCCTAAAACGGCAGAGATATTAGCAGGAATTGACCCCCGGAAGAATTGACGTCCATACCTGCGATAGAACACTGGCCTTGACCCTGTTCCTGCACAACTACCCTCTTCTCTGTGCGCACCTCATCAAAATCTCATTTCTGCTACAATGTCCTCAACACATCGTCGTAGGTAGGGACCGGAGCTTATCGATTATCCCTAGTGTGCGTGAACCGAGTCCGAGGGAATGGTATCGTACTAATGAATGCAATGTCAGAAAACTAGATCTGGGAAAGGGTAGAGCGTGGACGTACGGTACGTGATGCAATCTTCTGGACTCGTCCGCCAGTCGTCAATGTTTCAACCTATGATCGAAACGTTGACGAGCAGTGTATATGCTGTTTGAGTTTGCGTCGCAGAGGTAGAATTTACGGGCGGTGACCGATATGCATCAGTAAAAGACTTGAGCGGCACTGGATGACGGGCAATACAAGTTGTCAGAGAGGACTGGAAGAATCTGAGAGACAAGTACTTGATTACTCATTAGCTCCACCTCTCATGTATCCGAGGCCAACATCATTTGCAATGAACACACACGTGGTTCAACGATCTGAGAGAGAGAGCAAAACTGCCTCAGCGCGGTTTTCTTCCTTGGCCAAGGGTGCTGGTAGGCCGCAACGTCGGACGGTGGTGGAAAAAAGAAGCATCTGAAAGTGGGCACACGGTGGATGGTCCTACCCTCCGAGTCCTAGTACTCACTGGCGTTGCTCACAGCCAGGTAAGTAACTAACGGAAAACGGCCAGGTGCAATTATAAACAAGTGACGATTCTGTGTCACCCACAGTGACACAGAATCGTCACAGGCACAAATTCACATAAATAAATTCAAATACTCAACGTCTATTCAACTTCATCACCATTTCTGGCCTCTCATCTCAACGCCATGGACATCATCAAGGTTTACAGGTTCCCCATGAATGAGGCCTGGATGGTTTAAGAGGGCGTCAGACTGGGATTCTCCAACCCAGAAGACGACATCTATAGGAGAAGCTTGGACGTTGGGCCCGTCTTTGATTTGATCAAGTAACGCAGTGCTCCACATGAACTGTGTATGGGTCGGTGACGGACTCAGCATACTTTTCTGGCATCCTCCATTCGAGAGGTGGAAACCACCTCGCACCCCGACATTGGAGCGTCGTCTGGAAGAGTTCCTTCAGCTGGCAAACCTACCGTCAATGAAACCCGCCGTACGGAGACTTGCCAAAGGTTCTGCGAGGGTTGGAAAAAGCGCCACCCTGGGTAAAAAAGATGAGATTAGAGAGCTCTCTACTGTATCGGCCGCCCAATGTACGTTCCTTCTGCTCATGGTTTTGCTGCTCCCGACTTACAATGTTAATACATTATCATGTCTTTACAAACTAGAAAGACGCCCCGCGCGTCCTACTACTGCAGACGTCCAAAAATGGTTTCCTGGACCCACAAAGTAGTACCCTGGCTCGCTACTACTGCAGACACCCATGCTAAGGTGTCTTTCGAGACTTCAGTGCATGCCATCCTCCCATCTATACCCGCTCCACAGCCAGTGTTCATGTGTAATCGACACCCCTCTCCATGCAGAGGTCTCATGTAGGCTCGATCTATAGGGTCTTTGGATTCTGTGAGGGGAAGGGAGATCATCTGGCAAGAGGAGGTATGTGTCGACGAACTCTTTGTTATGTACTACGCAATACACACATCTTTTGCATCTTAACAACCACCAGCTGGATGCCGATCTCGTCTGCATACTCTCCAAACTAACACGGAAATTTTATAAACCAAAAAAACGAGTTGCATACCCTACACATGAGGTCTTCTAATGACATGTTTCCGCACTGCCTAACGGCTGCGACTGAGGACTCGGATGGCAGTGAGCGAGTTCGAAAAGCTCAACCGCATACTTTCCTGGGCCTAACCCAGGCCTAACCATGCTTTTGATTATTATTGTCATCGTACATTCGAATGCTTCAAGTCAGTTTTTTTTGGGAGATTCAGACAAGCGTAACACTGTTGGCCATAGGCCACCAAATATATATCATCTTGTGAACGTTTATCGAGAATCAGATTTTCAAGAGATTGCGTGGGGCTGATAACGTTGGAGGTAAAAATCTTTCTAATTTGTGCAGGTCAGTGAAAAGCGATGCCCTTAGGCCAAACATTGAACTCAAACCACCACCTTGCTCACTCCGACGCGACATGATTGCCACCTTGACAGACTACTTTGATCGTCTATAGGGACACGGGCGCGTTTCTTGAAACTCATGGCGCCAAAACACAAACCAAGAGACGAGGAGGACCCACTTTCCGGAACCTCCGTAATCACGGAGCAACATGAAGCACCTGAAGTTTCCAAGGTCTCCGAACGTTTCCAAGCCTCATTGGCTCGGTTCGCCTTTTCCGACTTCCATTTTTCAAATCAAAAATCCAAGGCGCCCGGTTACGACAAAGCCACAACGACCCAGAGCCTGAGGCCACGAAATCAGGATCATGCAAAAGGGCCGGACAGCCCAGTACCCTCAAGCTCTCGCGTAAAGGTTCTGAGGACAAGAAAGCGGTCGATGTGGGCACTTGACGAGGGTCCCAATCAATCGGTCGGTCGTTTAGAACCTGGCTCTTCCCCCAAGAAACAGAAACGGGGGTATGCCGAGCCGTCTACGTACGCTCACCTGCGGGAACTTCGGAATCACTTGCGGAGTGGGTTAGAAGGTAAGTCAGTCAAAGCATGAACATCTCGAACCATCCCCTCACATTCTCGTTTAGTGGTTTTTTGTGGTATTAAGTGAGTTCGTCGGACTGCCACTCTTGACACGCTAATGATCGTTCTCAGCCCAGGTCAGACGTCCGCTGAGATAGGGCACCACTTTGGTGGTCCAACAAACCACTTCTGGAGCTGCCTGTATGAATCAGGCTTCACCACACGACTTCTCCGTCCTCAAGAAGACTTCATTCTCCCAGAACAGTTTTCGATCGGAATGGTAAGTACGCCTTCTCTCCTTCTATCAAGCGCGACAATGATACTCACATCTCCAATGATAGACGAATCTGGTTGGTCGTCCAACTGCTGAGGTATCGGCACCTCTCATGCAAAGTTCCCAGTCACCGACCGATCTCATCATCCGTAGCAAAGCGAGCTATCCAAAGCCGAGCAAAAAGCGGGAGTTCCTGCTCTCCTCGCCAAGATCGCCACACACCGCCCCAAGATTGTCTGCTTTGTTGGACTGGGAATCGCGGACATCGTGAAATTTAAAGTGATGCCGGTAATTGTGAGGTTGTCTTCGTCCTAGCCCCCGTTACTTACCCGTCAACAGGCTGGAAAGGGCCGAAAGACGAAGGCGGCTATCGGGATTCAGCCCTACAAGCTTCAGTATCAAGATGAACAAGGCAAGGAAATCCGTTCAGTCTTGACGATGGTAATTGGGCTCCTTGACAGCATGCCCCAAGGAAACCCGCTTTTACGCTGTGTCTAGTACGTCAGGCCGTGTGGTTACGTACCAGGCGAGTCCTCGTCCAGAAGCGCCCCACGTCAGTTCTTCTGATTCCACACTTGTAGAAAAAGGACAAGGTGAATCAGTTCAAGGCTTTGAAGTCGGTCTTGGATTCTTTACGGAACAACAATGTTGATACCTCCTCTCTTCACGCTCTCCAATTGAATGATCTACAATGTGTAATCTAATTTCATGTCCCACCACGCAAATGTATAGTCTTATCAATGTAATCTTTCAACTGTTCTTCGCACTCTTTCACATACCCTCCACGCTGCGTTAACAAGTGCCCTCGAAGGGGAGGTTCCCATAACCAGCGTTGACTATTTTCGTGAAACAACCTCTATACAATGATACCGAGAACGGGTGGCGCATTATGAATCAATGACCAGCTCCGTTCTCAACGAAAACAACAAGAAATTATTGAGCAACTACAAAAAAGATACAAATACACAGATCATAATGCATAAGCCCCGAAGTCTACTCGTCCTCATCGCTATCCATATCCTCATCGCTGTCGCTATCCTCTCCTTCGAGCACCTCAATGGGTTCGAGACCAATGTCGTGGTCAGCACCAACGTAAGAGTCACAAATGACGTAGAGCTTCAGTGAGTGAGTGCCCTTCGGCAACGTAAACTCAAGTTTAACGGCAAGGCTCTTCGTCACCGTGACTCGCTTAATGACAAGGAGCTGACGGGAGGCAGGATCTCCGACAACGAGCCACCAATTCGCCAACTTCTTCAGGGGGTAGAATGGTGCAACAACGTTTTGATCACCATCATCTTCCTCGTCTGCGTCACGTGCCAGCGATACCTGGAGGATGATTGGCGCGCCTGCGGTGTATTCTCCTTTGACGAGCTCGTGAGAGATGTCCAGAGTGGGGTAGGAGTTGACAAAGGTTGCGACATCTCGCCTGAAATGATGTGAGATTCGATCGTAAGGAAAAGTTTGTGATTCTTACATTTGGGCGGGCGTCATCTGGAGCAACTCGTTTCTACGATCGTCCTCGAGCTCCATGATGTCATAGACGGAGTCGACACCGGCGTCCTTACAACGCTTGATTACCTGAAGCGATCATGACCTGTGAGCGAATGACTCTCTTACAGCGTGAATTTGCTTACCTCAGTCTCAAAGTGAGGGATCTGTTTCAGAGGCGAATCCGTCTCCCACATGGCTTGTACACACATCTGGGATAGATCCATTGCACCCAGAGCGCTTAGCCAAGCGCTAGACGACATCACATCGACGCTGGCCGACAAAAGATTGAGTACTTTCTCCAGGACGAGAACCTGGTCAGCAGCCAGATCAGGCGGCAATTGCAACCGTGAGAAGTGAGCTTGAAGGAGCAGGAACGTTTTGAAGTGGGGGGCCTCGAAGTCGGCCCGCTCTAGTTTGACTGGGACGCGGTCGTAGATACGACGAAGAAGAGCATCTTCGTGTCTCCGGATCGGGATAGTTTCAAATTCGGCCGATGACGATACAACCTCGAGAAGGCCTTTCAACTTCGTACGCTCCTTGAGGGACAATGTGTACACCTCGACCGTCACATCTAATAAGCGGATAAGCCATTGGGTGACTTCCAAGTGATAGGCACTCACATGAGATATTGTAATAGGCAGCGATCATTCCAAGATTGAGCGCCGACACGTCCATTTCGTCCTCTGAAGAAAGGATCAGACAGATTAGCAGGAAAAAAGGGAAGAAACCTACCAATTGCGATACACTTTGAATTCACGAGATCACTCAAAGTGTTCTCAACAAGTTCTGAAAGGTGGTCGGACAGATGCTGATGGCTGACATTGTGCAGGTTGTAATAGTTCGGGTTTTGAGTCATTCGGCGGAG